AAATGAGCAGTCTTCCTCTTTAAGGAAACCTACTTGTAATGGAGAAATGCTATCAAGCAGTATCCTTTTGAAAGTTAGCGTATCACAACTGCGTCCACAATTGGCTGGTCTCTGTTTGTCGTTTTTCCAAATGCATATCGCCTGTTGGTGGTAAACCTTGTCGCTATAGGCATTGACGTAATTCCCCCAGTTTTCGTGAGCAAACCTTCGGCAAATCAGATAACATTGCCGGCAATGACAAGGGGGATTGGTATGGCCATTTCTGGCTCATTAGCAACCAGAAATCGAACGCTCTAACCATTGGACCACAGGCTGGAAGTTTATTTTCTAGTTAAATTTATTGTCCTCCCCCCCCTTCTGCGGTAGGATACATGCCGGATTCTCTTCTTTTTTGCATTTTAGTGCCACAAGACCCTTTCGTCGCTGTGTCAGGATTCACGTCTGTTGGAACGCTTGAAGCCCAAAGAGTACTTGAAAGAACTGCGGGTTTGTCTAATAGAGGGGACGCAACTCGTGGTACGGCACCTCAATGACAGAACCCTCGAATACTGCCTTGAGGTAGGCCCGGTCCCTGGGTCATGCTTCAATTCAATTTATACTCACATTCTCAAATTACTGCCTTGAGTATTTTAAAACGGTCCCGTAGGAGTTCCTCCACGGCCGTGTGAACTTCCTGCTGGGCATACTTTGTCTTCACAATTACCAAACTGCCGATAAAAGTGAAAAACGCGAGTTGCTTAGTCATGATTTACAGGCACTCACTTGGTTAGCAGTCGCAATTTCTGATACAAGCGAACATGCGAGTCCCAGCGATCGAGTCGTCTTCTACTTCTCAGTCGCAATTTAGTTCGCCTAAATTACCAGCATCCGCAAGTTGTGGTGGCATGCAGTAGCAAGGAATCCCTTTCCCGGTTACTTGGAAAGCTTTTAGTAGGACTGATGAAGACTAATTCAGTGTACGAATAATAATGAAATATGACTAGTAAAAAAGGTGAGGCGTTTGCTAAAATTAACCGCGTACAACACCTTAACTGAATTAGTAGGACGAATTTTTCACCGGAGTCAATTTAATTTAAGCAAACTATCTACTGTAATCAAGGACGTAGTGTATTTTTAGAAATCTCTGTAACCTGTAACCTGAGTGGGTTTTGGATGAAGCTTAGGTTAGGTAGGGTTGGTTGGACGCGGACAACTTCTGTATCCAGAGTCTCCCTAGATCTAACAAATATTCGTCGCTCTTTGAACAAGAGTGTTGATATTATTGTTCTATTCTTAATTACAGCCACTTCACCTGACCAGTTATCAAGATAACTGCAGTCCGCCACCCACAATGACAGCCTGCACAATGCCCGCCATCCCAAGGCCGAATGGATGCATTCTGCCCCTGGATGCGACACCGTTTATGCTGCAGTTGTGTAACATTATTGAGACGCAAGAGTGCGTGTTTCTTCTCACTGAACGCGCCCGGGGTCCCCGGTTTTTCGACTGGTTCCAACACCACATTGAAAGGCAGTTTGTTTTGGCATGGCGCAATTCCTCTCTGGCGCTCACACAAAAGCAGGATACTACTGCTGCAGCTACAGAAAACGCTGGCATCCACCACATTGCCTGGTGCCGGCTCAGATCTGCCCGGATCCGAGGCCTTTTGAAGAGCGCCGAGACTGTTTGTGAGTCGGCTATATCAAGCAGGTTCTCTGGTGATTTTTGTCACTAGAGCCTGTGCCAGCTTTTAGATTAGGTTTTCTCAGGGCTTTTCTTACCCTCCTCCTTGCTTCGGATCGACCAACCCTACTTCTAGTCATTGCTACTGTGCAGCTCAAGAAAAAAATAACTTACAACTGGCAACGAAAGCAGCAGTTCAGCAAAAAATAGTTATAGACACACATCTGATGTGCCAACGTAACCTAGTGGTTCTAAGGCTTTTTGATTGGTTGGGACTCTAAAGGCACCAGTAGGTTTCCGTAAGGACGCTCAAACGTGACTTGTTAGTTACCCGGACCCTTTCGGTCATCGGACCAAGCCGTAATGCATAACTGGCCGTCATCTTGAGGAAATAGACAGTTTCAAATACCACGGGACAAGATTGCTGGCGAGTGGGCAGGATAATGACGACATTTTCTCTCGAAGTGATGCTGCTTATCGGCTTTTCTCAAACCCTAAAAAGTGCCTATGGCTCCGACGCGTCACCTCCATGGCCTTGGAGATTCGTGTGAATCGGCACCCGTCCAGTTAGTCCTCCTCTATGGATGTGATTACTGGACCTTGCGTTTAGGGGATGAGCAAAGACTGGAGGTATTTGACCATTACTGCTTGGGGACCATACTTCGAGTTAAGTACACCAACTGTGACAGTATCGCTAGGATATCTCCGTTATAACGACGGGTTCTGCGTCGTCAGTGTTGTAACGGTGACATCTGACGTGTGTCACCGTCGAATAACCCCCTGTTGAAATCACCAAGGAAGAACACAATAAGAAGGGCATCATTCTGGAATCCACCCGGAGGAGGGTTTATTGTGTGCAAAACCCGAAGTTGCTGTCTCGGGTGGCAATTGCCGCTGGTTGATCTCCAGCGCGCTCCTTGTCCCCGCTTCGGGGTTAGTGCCCGGCAATCGGAACCGGACTGGCTGTGTCCTCGCAGTCCGTGTGTGCAGGCTCCGCCTGTCTGAGATGTGACAGTGGCTTATAAGGGGATAAGGTCA